TTAATTTTTCCCATTATAGATTATGGTGATGTGTGCTACTACGACCTGAATGCAGATCTCCTCAACAAATACGACCGTCTTCTTAATAACTGCATTAGATTCATTTTTAATCTTCGTAAATATGATCATATTTCCTCCTTTCGTCTTAAATTAAATTGGCTCCCAATTCGTCAGCGTCGTCACCTGCGGGCACTAACGACTCTCTACACTATTCTCAACTCTCCTAACTCGCCTACATACTTGACATCCTCCTTCCAGTTCTTGTGCTCCAATCATAACAGAACCCTTCGCTCTACAAATAATCTTCTACTCTTATGCCCTGCCCACACTTCTGCGTGTGTTCATTCTTCCTTCCTCACTCAATCTGTACTTCTATGGAATGCTCTTCCCCAGGATATCATGGCGACCAGTCGTAATTCGTTTAGGGCGAAGGTGCGGGCTCTTCTTGACCGGAATGTAGCGGAATCATCACAAATATGATACTTTATGTATTATGGTATATATGTATGTGTATATATATAACACAATATATATGAATATGAATGTATGTATTCTTGTATGTATACGTTGGTATTTATATATTATTTCATTGCTTTTTGCTCAGTATTGCTATCATTACTTCTTTTATGTCCACTTTATAACTCTCAACCAAAGGGTAGTGCACCTCCACACTCATTTCCACACCACCCTAAGGTAGACTGGTAGAGAATGCCTATGGCATTAAGTCCGCCATTGTACTTGTGTGCATAAAGTTGATAAATAAATAAATAAAAAGTATTTATTATTCACTAGCTTTTGCAGTCTATATGTCGGTTATCGCGATAAAAAGTATGTGTTTCCTCAAGAATAAAATGTTCATAACAAATTTCATCTAAATCAGATTAGTATTTATTGATTCCCTATAGAAACTTCCGCCTCCATTTTACTTTTATGATTATTGGGGAACTATCTCTACACCAAATTTCATCTAAGTTCACAGACATACTTTCGCATTTAAAATATTAGTATGGATAAATTGCTTAAAAATCTAAGCTTTGTGCTCTTCTATATATTAACGAAAACTCGTAGCTACTTTTAACCGTGGAGTGATTCTACGGCCTCACAGAAAGCCGGGGTTAGGCAATTTATTTATTTCAAACTTTATGCACTTTTGTTCATCGGCAAAATTGTTTCGTACTACTTCACCAAGTGAGAAAGGTTACCACAGGCCACTCCCTCCCTCCTCCTCCTCATTGTATATATTAGTATTCTAACAGTTTCCATATGTATATTAAATGTCGCTTCACTGAATGGTTCTGTGCTGTCGTATCTTTGGTTTAAGGACAGCAGCTGTGTTCGTAACGGGTAGGTAGGGTTGTAAAAATCAATCGGATGTTTTTGAGCTCTACCTTGTTATTCGGTAGACTATATTTACCATTTACAATTATTTTCATTCAGAACAAGTAATGTAGATTAGGTAAATGCGTATTTTCCAAATTATAAAGCAAGCAAACAATTTACAAGCGTCTAAGAAGCTAGCTTGCACACGGACGCATACATACACAGGTGTACACCCCCACAGACCCACAAATATGGCTGAAGCACCGTGCAGGCGCAGGGAATCCCAATTCTGTGCTTACTTCAATTACTCAGTGAAGTGATCAAAAAATTATTATTATTTATTTTTCATCAAAATTGCAACTTTTCATACAGTGAACATGACACATTGCTTGATTAAATAAGTAATATTTCTTAAATGTAAAAGCGAAGAAAGCGGAATATTATATTAGATTAGATTTTCCTAAGCCTACGTAACATTAGCAAATAATGTATTTTTTTTTAATTCTACAGTATAAAGGCTTTTTTCTTTTTCTTTCGTCTTATTAAATTTTATGTACCTACACTTATGTTAAGGTAGAGACAGTGTTTTAATATATTATAGTATACATATACACTTGTATAGCAGGTACTATACACATGTATCATGATGATGTATGATCCTTAAATATTGTTAAAGTGTAATTATATTAATGTTATAAATTCGGTCGTTTGTTTCTTACATTTTCTTACCTTAACTACTCAACTGATCATCATAAAGTTTTGCCTAGTGTCTATCAGTGGCAGATTAACAACGTAGTAAGAGTAGCAAATGCTACGGGCCCTGCGCACCAACGCTTTACTACGCTTTACTAACAGTATCTACTTATTAACTATTTAGGCTTATTAGAATTAATCGCCAAATTCGATGCTTTTATGGCACAACGTATTCAATAATAATGTCAGTAAAGGAAGGAGGCATATGTCATATTTATCAAAATTTACCAAATTAAACCAAGAAAAGTTTATATACTTATATTAAAATTATTACTATTATCACTGTGATAAGTAGAGAAAGTAAAGAATAAAAATAGACAATCGCCGATGTTAGTGCGGTGAGAGCAACGGAGTGTACCATTTACCAAGCTGAGCATTTTGGAGAGAAGGGCCTTAAAGGCCCTTCGTGTTGAGTAAATAGAGCGAAAAATTACATTCTTCTGACGATGGATGAAGAATCTCGAGCGGGTCGACGATCGACCGTGAAATCATAGGGCACGATGTACCGAAGTTTTATAACTAACGCCTTGCGTTTTCGGCGGTCATTCGCGTAAAGTGAATTTAGTATCCATTCATTGGAATATTTACCTAATATTTTCATTTTATTTTTATTAAAAACAAACATACATGAATCCGACACAAAGAACACCCAGATTCAAAACAACAATTTGTGGATCACTAAAAGTATCGTCCCATATGGGGATCGAACCCACTAACTCTGCATAGTCGAAAGCGGCGTGGCTGTTAAAATCACTACGCCATCCGTGCAGTTAAAGCAGCAGTGCAGTCATCAAAGCTTACCGCGGTAATGTGCCCAATGGCGGCTTTGCACCACTTACCAGTTGATGACTGCCGTCAGGAAGCACAACTAACTGTGTATTTCTAGGGGCTATTATCAGGCGAGTCGGACCTACGAGCCTACCGTATCTTTCACTCGCTTACTCAAAATCAATAAATGGAAAACGAAAACAGATGAAGTAAAATTTCTGAATAAGTGAGTTAATCTGAAAACTGATCCAAGTGGCGTGCAATTGGAGAGGCCTATGTCCAGCAGTGGACTGCGATAGGCTGATGATGATGAGTTAATCAGAAGTCTGTGATTTAATAAGAACCGAGTTAAGTTTAGTTGGTACTTTTAGTTGTTTTATACGTTCTGTAGAAAACAAATGTTGTTGCACGAAAAGCTAACACTAAAATTCTCCTCGTGACATCTTTATTTCTTTGAATCTTTGCATTATTGTAACCGAGATTTCTGAATGATGTTAGAACAATCTTAGCCCAATTTTGTTGTTTTATTGTACTTTTAGCCACATCGGCGTGAGGAGTTTGTAGCAAAATCTATTGGCCTTTAATGGTGTATGTAATATTTTACTTACTTATCGTGGGATTAAGACCGGATTTTCTGTGAGGCCGTGACATTACTCCGGCCTGTATCATGGGCCGAGGCATGGGTCTAGTCGGTTGTAATTATCTTATAAATAACGTCTTAGTTGCATTGTAATTGCACAGCGATATAAACACAACATAAAGACCTTGAACATGACGAAGGCAAGATTATGAAAAAAATTTATTATAGCATAAACAATTTTTGTACCAAGAAGTGATTCTAAGCTTCCCTAGTTTTAAGGTAACGGATGACTAAAACACTGGCATCCCGAATTTTTGTCTTATATTCCTCTGCCTCCTTGCAAGGAATGTCAGCCGTATTGACTTATTTAAGAACAAAATTAACCCCTAGCTATTAAGTTTTCTCTTTCCTATTTTAATAGACGTTTGTTTTCCAACAAGCTGTGTGGAAAGCGACGATCAAGAAAAAAATATACATATACATCAAGAGAAACTTCGCTATAATCCTGAACGTTTTAAGATGATAATAGTCTGAAAGAATAAAAGCTCGCAGTTCATTCTTTCAGGCATTAGACCAATAAGAAACTGCCATAAATACAATTTGATACTGATTATCGTATATAATCTAATGTTCCGTAAATTTAAATTGGGTTAGTAGTTATAAAGTCTGGAGTCCGAATGTCTTAGTAACAGCTGTTTTCGGACCCCTCCTATTTCAGGCGCAGAGTGGCACACCGTGTGTTTTTAGTCGGTCCGGCACACTGCCCCTCCGCAAACTCCGGCGTGGTAACGAGGGAATTTCCACATTTAAAAAGTCCAAGATTCAAATTCAATTTTAAAAAAAAAGTCCAATTCTTAAAGAACTTTAGCTTTCTACTCTAAAGTAGTATAAAAGTCGAGTCTGAAATAGTTATCTAATCTAAATGTCTGACAAGTTATTAGTTATACTTCGAACATTTTCATATATAGCAAACACTAGCTTTCTAGTACTGAAAATTTACCTGTTACTAGGTTGTCCAAAGTCCGGGTCTGCCTAACAAACATAATTTAGTTAAATATCATAGTGAAGTACTAGATTAGGGTCTTTAATTTCTTGAAATGGAACCATGCAACACTAAATCTTGATGTTTGTGAAAGCGAAGGGTCGAGAAAGTTATTGCGAAAGTTATACGATTATGATTGAGTTTAGACCGTTATTTCTGCACCTGTAATATTTGTTAAGTACCTATAGGTCTACTAGATTCTGACCCATGCCACAGCAATAATAAAAAAAAATGTAATTCTCATCTGTAATTGACAGATTATAATCGCTGTTCTTGTTTTTGTTTTGTAATCCCTTATTAAGCTAATTTCATAGATTATTTATACTTTTGAAGTTAACATGTAGTATAAGTGCAAAAAAACTAAAATTATTCAATGATTTATAAATTATAAAAAATAAAAATTGGTACGAGAAGTCATACTACCTCACTGATTTTTATCTTATGTTACCTAAATTTAACTTAAAGGCAACTTTTTAATGGACATTCGACTACCATGCAATATGTTGTTAAAATTAGCGTATCATTTTATCTTTACAGATAGATCCAAACACAGCTTTCCTACGAGCGGCTCGCGCTGGACAGCTCGACACAGTGGTCGACCTGCTCGACTCCGGCGCAGTCAAAGATATAAACACTTGTAATTCGGTAAGTAAATAATAATGATAAAATTCTGATGTCCAAGATTTGGACTTACGGCTACTTTTGACTCCTTAACCAGACAACCGCGACCCAAAACAGAATCAACAGAACATGTACCTTTCTAGCATCTTCTTACTATGCTCATTCAGACCATTTTTCTTAGCAACAGGTAGAAGTTATCAAGTTAGATTATTAGACGAAAAAGATCATGAATCCATCCAATGTGCCTCAAAGGGACGCCACGGAATCAATAGATAGTATGTACTTATTCAAAATTTACATTCCCAGTAAGCATTGTATTACTTGTTAAGTTTATTTGTCCACGTCTGTCCTGTGACAAAAAGAGAGAAAATAAAAAAGAGTGACCTAAGCAATCATATCTTTTTAAAATCGAAAATATAATATACCTACTAGGAAAACTCTAGGCAACCATTTCCGCTATTAAAACAACACAATTGACATATATTCAAAGAATGAGGTCTGAACGCCCCCAGCGATTGTAAAACCGTGTTACCCTGAGATTAATCTCTCAGGAGTTGATTGTTGCAACGGTAACAAGGCAAAATGAATGAAAATGCGCGCGCGCATTTAGCGGGCGTACGTACTATTAGTGGTGTACGTATACGTACCATCGCTAAATGCAATAGGGTTGTCAAAAAGGAGGAAGCGGTGGGATAGTTCGATATCTTTGACTTCGTTTGAAGACATTTAACAGAGTGTGGGACATGCCTCCATCGTGGTTCTGAATAATATCATCCCCACACAGGCTACACAAACACCTACAATTAGGTAGTCATACAGCATACTAATAATGTGTATACCATAACATGTTTCCTGCTGCCAGGAAATCAAAAACCGAGTTTTTTTTAAATCTCGTTGTCCTATAACTATTGTGCTAGGAAAAGAGGTTTTCTCCCTCCATAAAGAACTCAAAAAAGGCATTGCTGATTCTGTTGACAGGCCAAATGTGCTTTTTAGGCAATCGCTCCATATAAAGTTGATCTGTTTTAATTCAAAGTAACTTTGATAGCGTGTACTCGTAAAACTATTTTTATTAACATACGTATTGTAAGATTTTTTGTTGAGCTTTTGGTATCATTAACAAATTTTTGGCTTCGAGGAAGTGACAACAATAGTGTAATAACAAACAATCTCAATTTAATCTTACATTTAATTTGATGTGAACTAAAATAATTACAAACAAGTGTGTAAAAAATAAATTAATGTTGAATTAAAATATACTGCCACCAGTAAAAAAAAAACATGTTCACCGGTAGATCAGTTCGAACTGCATTCCCTCTTTTGTGTTTTTTCTAGACTCGACCTTATAATCTGTCCCCATTCTATTAATAAAACAACCACTAGACTAATTAATTCTTATCTGACACAGTAAATCTATTGATAGAACTGTCTATAGATATTAAGGATTGGTATTTTCCGTACCATTAATGCAACATACAAAGTTTCAAACGACGATCAGTCAGGATTTTGTGATTCTGTAAAAAGTGGTTACGACTTAAGTGCCTAACACCTAAATTCTGGATTTTTTCAAAACTTGTAATCTTGAATTTAACAAACAAACTCACTTTCGTAATTTTTTTTCACTTTAATAATAAAATAGGTATGGATTCTAGAAGAATAAATAATTAACTTTTAAGATGCCTAATGCACTAATTATCAATACATTTTTAATCGTCGTCGCATCGCATCGGAATTACTCAAATTGAAGCAAATTAATTGTAGTTAAAATAAAATAAATAATATAAAAGAATAATTGGTTCATATTTATATCACAGCACACTCACGCATAAACAAAAACAGCCATGTTTTTGTTCACCTTTTGCAATTGATGTAATATTTTATGTCATCATTTTTTGTCAAAAGAACCACAGAGACATCAAAGGCTTTTATTTAATAGTAACTGGTATCCGCGACTTCGTTCGCGTGGAATTTGAAAAGCGTTGTCTTAGTGGTGTAGTACGGTACGCGACTGCAGTCCATGAGGCCTCTGCTTCGATTCCCGGACTGGTTAGTATTTTACAGGGTTTTTCTGAGAGGAAAAATAGCCTAAGTTAATCCTTGTATAGACAGTTACCTGGTAGTAAAATATTATCAAATCGGTCCAGCCGTTTTGAAGAATGCCCGTAACAAATAGACAGACAGACAAAAATATTTAAACTGATTTTTAGGCATAGATGTCGTGCAAGTAACAGTGTGAGCATGAAAAAAACCTATTATATTGACATTACAAACAAATACTTCAATTGTATTTGTTTTTATAGATTTTAAAATAAATTGACTGCTCGGATGGGGTAGTGGTTTAAGCGGCCGCCACGCCGCTTACTACTACGCTGAGTGTTGTGGATCCGATCCCCACATGGGACAACACTTGCAGTGTGATGCAAAAATTGTCGTTCTGAGCCTGGGTGTTCTTTGTGTCCGTTTCATGTATGTTTGTAATGTCCCCCGCGACACAGGATATATTGCTAATGCGGAAGTTGTCTTTATAGAAAAAAAATAACGTCAAGTTACGTTGCCGCTTCTGGTTTATATTAAAAGCGATAGTTTAGATAATCGTAACTTCATAAAAGCGTAACTTTTTATCACAAAAGATACAGTGATCTTTATTAGCCACCTACCTATTAGAAAGAGGTATCCAGGGCTTACAAATATGTGCTGTTATGCAAAAGATATCACAAAGATGCCCCTGATGCCCAGAATTAAATAGTAGTAAATCATTTTCTCCAGGTTGAATAACAGGTTTGTAACCTAGTGACCTGATTATACATGGGCCTATTGCGTAACATTTACCAATGAACCTCATTTTATTGATTTCAGTGAGATTTTACCTCCAGGCATATTACATGTTTACAATGGCAAGACCTCCGCTTATATAAGGCCGAAATATAAGGCTTGTTAGTGTTCATACGTTCTAAGGAACGTATGAACACTAACAAGCCATATATTTCAATTTCTCACTTGAAGCAATTAGTTTACATTAAAACCTGATTAAATGTTGCTTTAGAGACATCTAAACGTGTTCTATTTATTATCTCAATAGAATGAATGAATCCAAACCAACAGAATCGCTGATATTTTAATAAAACATAATTTATAGTTTAATAATATTATACTGTACCTATTATTATAGTAGTGAAAATCTATACAAATAAATAAAATTGAATTGTCTGTTTGTAATGTCAAAATTATAGTTTTTATTTTTTTAAGCTCACACTGTTATTTGCACGATACCTATGCCCAAAAACCAGTATTTTTTTGTCTGTCTGTCTGTCGGTTTGTTCCGGGTAATCTTCTAAACGGCTGGACCGATTTCAATAATATTTTGCTACCAGGTAGCTGTCTACATAATGAATAACTTAGGCTATTTTTCCTCTCAGAAAAACCCTTGAAAATTTTGCCCGGTCCGGGCATCGAACCCACTAAGGCAGCGCTTTTCAAATTCCACGCGAACGAAGTCGCGGGTACCAGCTACTTAGGAATAAAATTGTGATTAGTTTGTTTTTAAAGCAATAATGTTATAGATGTTTGTAATTAAATCATAGAAGAACGGCTGAACGGATCTGGATGAAATTATTCATAGAGATAGATCATAGTTTTGAATGGCTATTACATAGACTATTTTTTTCTATCTCGGAAGAAATAATTGGCAAAATCGTTACTTTCGATTTTGCGAGTGCGGCCAAGAACTAGTATTTATTTCAATATATCAGCAAAACCTTTGTTTGTTTTTTTTAAATTCGGTATTATAGTAGCATCTTTGTATAAAATTGATAAGGAATTAGCATCTTTGTATAAAATTGATACAAAAAAATAACAAAATCTCAATGTTTTAATTTATAATTGGTGACAATATTCTTAGGAGCAAGGTGTAGGTACACACAACCCTAGCTACATTGCATACCATCAGATAGTACACACATTGCTATATTGAGGACATCCTGGCAGGTAGGGTAATCGTCATCATAAAAATAGATAACAACTATTTGTTGCATCTATTCCTATTATACATTTCATGGTCGACATTGCTGTGGCACCACAATCGAGCAGGTTTATATTGTGCAGGAACTTATGTCATACAGATTTATCTTTTGTTTATCTAATCGACCTATATCTGACAATTTACTATAACAGTATAAAATATAAAATCGCGATTGTATTTCTATTTGAAACACAATTTGAAAAATCTTCTGTGTTATTGTTTTCAGTCCTTTGTTCATTCATTAAATTATTATTTTTCTAGGGCAGAAACATTGCCAATAGTTATATAGTAGTATTGCATATAGTATGGATGTATATGTAAGTATGTGTATGGAATGGTATGAGAGGTGTATATGGTCAGTCTTTAGTCTTTTATAATAATATTTTTTTAGTTTCGTACCAAGCAACCAATTCTTTAATTTATTTTAGCTTCGTGATTAGATAAGGGATGAATGTTAGTTCATTTATTTATTCTATTACATAAGAAGATAGACATGTAGACATGTTGCCGTCAGGCAGAGGCTGTACGACGGATAAACAATTACCTATTTAAATCTGACTGATTTGATTTTGTTTGAGATATTAATGTGTTTAAACAAACGACTATGGTATATATATATATATATATATATATATATATATATATATATTTGTACTAAATAGTAATATTTTTTTAAAACACAATGTTGAAGGACTAGTCGTTCTCTGTAATTAACCGAGATCAATGCTTCGCTCATAAAATCGTAGCATGATTTAAAAGGAATTTCTCAAAACAGACTTTCAGAGCTGTACAAGTTTAATCAAGAATATCAAATGGCAAGAAAAGAGAGTAGGTACTCTCACGTTCATAGCAGGTAGAAATAACTTACATACTTACATCATAAAAAAATACTTTAGCCACCTAAATTGAGCCCGCTTGTACCAAACACTAACGGGTACAAACAGAAAAGGCACAGATGGAAACGGATTCTCAATTCTGTGATGGAAGCTATTACGCACGTTCCATA